CCCCAGGGGTTCTCCCTAGCCTGGGGGGGACAGGCCCTCCTAGCTCTCCTCTTGTTTGCGCGCTCTGTTTGCACGGTGCGGCTCCCTACTGGCTCAACTAAAAGGAATCCGGGGGGCTTCCCCTCTGAATCTGGCTCGGCTGTGCCGGCTCCCTCTGCCCCACTTACCTTTGGCAGAGCAGCTGTTGCTGCCCCCACTGCTGGCTCAGGTGCTGCGTCCACCTCTGCCTCTGTTTCAAAACACAGCATCTTCTGTAACTTGTGTCTGCACTGCCTGCCAGCCTCTGAGCTGTTTCCAGAATGGGAGGGCAGAAAGGGACCAGAGGGAGTTTGGTTTGGGAATTTTCAGCCCCCACTAGAGTGTGGGGCAGGTGATGAGGCTCCAATTCACCCACCCCACCCTCCAGTGCTGGCTGGGGAGCCCCTAGAATGAGATTCCTCTTCTCCCTTTCCCGCTCCCATTCTGAAACAAGGACAGACTGGGAGACAGGAGGGGCCATTGCTAGGGGAAACTGGCTGAAGGCTCCCAACTCACAGCTAGATTCCCCTCCTCCCTGGAACAACAGTGACCTTCTGTTTGGTCCAGGGGATGGTTGTAACTCAGAACACTTCCTGCAGTGTTCTTAATTACAGCGGGGAGCTGCACTTCTGTCTGTACCCGTAGACCTCATGGCTCATTTATGCCTCATTCAAACTCATATTCTTTAGGCAAGAGCAGGACGTCTCTAGCAGTCAGGAGGGCTCTACCAGGCATGTTGAGGGTCAGGGCTAAGATGGCCCTGACCAAGGTCTTGTGCTGAGCAAGGCCCCTGTTCCCATGAAAGTCAGAGGTTGGTGTCAGTGCCAGGCTGCAGTCGATGGTGCCAGGCAGGCAGACCTCCAGGCGCTCACTAAAGGCAGGTGTTGGCAGATGATAGAAATGGGGGAACCCCTGTATAGCTGCAAGTAGGGTGAGGCAGAAACAGCTGAGCAGCTCACCCTGCATTTCTACAAACCTTCAGCCAGCTCTCGGCACCATGTGCCTGGGGTAACAGCACATTCCAAGCCCCTCTGGAGCCACCAGTTTCAGCTTTATGATCATACCCAGAGAAGGGCCAAGGCTCCTTAGCTAGTGCCTGGTGGCTGAGGCAGCATTCAGGACACCTTCCCACCCGCCAGGCCGGTGTGCATACATGCAGAGCTCTGAGGCAGTTGGTTATGGGGACTCCAGGACTCTCTGCCCCGGCTGTTGTCTGGGACCTTGGAATCTCCATGTACTGGAGACAGGCTCATTGTTCTGCAACAACTGCGTGCTCAGAGCAGGCCCCATCCACCAGAGCAGCCACCACTTGAAGCCAGAAGCTGCCCTGGTTTAACTGTGTCTTCCAGCCACAGTCTTACATGGGGCACAGTGGGCAGAGGACAGGTTGTCTAATACACCCAACGCTGCTATGAAGTTGTGCCCTTGGCTCACTGACACAGCCCTTCTGCCAGGCCTTGGTTCCCCCAAGGCTATCTGGAGCCTAAGCATTCCTACCACTCTGTCCACATGCTGCTGCATGGAGCAAGGGAAAGCTGCCTGTTCCTGAAACATGTCTGTGGGCAGTGAGGTCAAGCTGTTCTGGACCTGGCTTGAGAGCACTGCTGCTGGCACAGGCACCAAGGCAGGCTCTCACTGCTGTCCCTTCCAGCAGGACACAGTCTCTGGCCTGGCTTTATTTTGAAGCAGGGCACCCTAGCATTTCCCCTGGGCTCTGTGTTTCCTGCATGGGCTCAGTATGATGCAGCTGGACTCTAGGCTCTCCCAGGCAGCTCAGGCAGAGCAGAAGGCCTGGTTTCAAGGAAAAGTCCAATTATGGACACATATTTGGATGCAGAAGGTTGATTTTGTTCACTCTGCCACAGAGAAATGTGTTTGCCATCATATCAGATCACAACAATGGGAATGGGCAGCAGGGGCATGTATCTGTGTGTGCAGCCATGCAGCATGTTTTCTGTGACATAAATAGTAGAGGGACATATAGCATACAGCCTTACACCCATGCAAGCCTTACACCCATGCATTCTGGGTTGGGGGGTTGGGGGAAGATGACACTTTGCCTCCCAAATTGAGAAGTAACATAGTAAGTTACCAGCCAACCTATGTCAGCAGATTGGGTAGGGAGCAGAAAGCAGAGCAGCAGACCAGGCAGGCTTGAAGGATGCTTGGGTTTAGGCAGACTGCATTTGGCTGACTTTCTAATTCAGCCAAATGGTAGACAAGAACACATGGAAGCTACAGCTCCCAGTGAGTCTTCCCCAGACCCACTCCTGCCACACTCCAGATCCCCCCAGCCCCACAATGGCCCAGCACAGGGAATGATCTGGTGCAAGGCATTTCGCCAGTTATACAAATGCATGCGACACAGTGCCAGGCATGTCAGTTTGTGTGCTCTGCAGACTTGATTAATCGAGTTTGGAGTCACACTGGATTTCCGGCGTGTTGGAGCAGGCAAAGTTATGTGTATAAAAGCCCTCAGGTTCCAATACTGTGGCTGGAGTTTGGAAAAGAGCGTTTTGAATCTGAAATGATTTGTATGCTGACCTTCACTCTGAAACTAGAGTAGGGCCTGTGCCTTTGGCTTAGGTACAGGGAAAGAAAGGACCAGTAATATGAGAACGGAATAGGGCTACTTGACTATCTTAATGAACAAGCACCAAGGTGACTTGTTCTGTGCAAGCACTGAATTGTTCTTTTGTGAAGCTAAAAAGTGACTCTAAGGCAAAGCCTAAAATCAGGCTGGGAAGGAAAAGAAACTAGCCATATGGACAGAACATACTTGGTGCTCTCCCTAACCTGCCTTGATTTGCAACCTAACAGACAAATGCATAAATGTGGAAAATGCATTAATTTATGAACTGTAGAGATATGTGTAAAGCCTACAGAGCACACAAAGATCTCTTCCAGTGATCACTCCCACCTTGGAGGAGACCAGAAAGTTACCAGGCACTCAGCTGTTAAAGATTTCTAGACTTGTCTTTTATGGGAGAGGATTTAACTTTCTTTGTTTCCAGGGGATGGTGCCACACCCAAGAAAGGTACATTACATGATGGGCACATGGGGGTAGTGGGGTGCACTAACAGCAGATGCTTAGGTGTCACAGACTACATTTGTGGTTGATCCTTTATCCCAAAGGACACTAGGTGTCACAGACTACATTTGTGAGTGTCTAAGATAGGGGTGGGCAACTTTTGGGGGGCCAGATCAGCACCTTTTTCCCCTCCCCCCAGTGCAACAACTCATCAAAACTCCCTGTGGGGCTTTGGGTGTGTGGACAGCAGCGTTCGGGAGCTGGACGGGCATGATCCACTCCCTGCACACCCTGCCCTGCCGGGAGGAGGTGGGAGTGTCTAGGGGTGTGTGTGCATGTGTGGGGGGCCTGCCTGAGCACTACATCCTGGGAGCTAGCCAGGGGTGTGGGGAGGTACGGGCTACATGCAGCAGAGCTCTCCCAGTCTGTGGCTGCCCCTGTGGTGCTCTGCATGGGGCCAGGCTATGGGGGCAGCTGCAGACTGGGTGAGCTCTACTGTGCTCAGCTTCTGGTGGGTCTGTTCCCAGTGTGGCTGCAGTTGGCCAGGTGCTGCTCTGCTCCCCTCACCTTCAGTGGAGCTGCCCAACTTAAATTCTCCCCCGTTCCCCCTACCTGGAGTGGCACAGTAAGGATGGGAGCAGGAGGAGGAGCTGCTGCTGGAGGTGAGGGGAGCAAAACAGCACCTGGCCAGCTGCAGCCACACTGGGAACAGCCCCACCGGAAGCTGAGCATGATGGCCAGGCCAGCAGGGCTGTTCTGCTCCCCTTGTCTCCAGCTGTGGTTCCTGTTCCTTCAGCTCCTGCTACGCCACTCCAGGTAGGTGGGAAGGAGGCTTCAGACAGGCAGCTCCTGCCCTAGCACACTGGGCTCCAGCTCCTGGCTACCTTCCATCTGCTCTGCCCACCTGCAGGTGGCTGCTCATCATGCTGGGTGGAAGGCAGCTGAGAGCTGGAGATGGAGCCCTGCACACTAGGGCAGGAGCTACCCAGCTGAAGCTCCCCGCCACTTGCAGCAGCAGCACAGCAGGAGCAGGAACAGGAGCAGGTGAGGGGAGCAGAACATCTCTGCTGGCCTGGACCCTGGCCAGCATATGGTGCGGCTGCACCTGGCCAGGTGCTTCTCTGCTTCCCTCGCCTCCAGGAGCAGCTCCTCCTGCTGGCTCTGCTTCACCACTCTGGGTGGGTGGGGGGAGGGAAGCTTCAGCTGGGTGGCTCCCTCTGAAGACAACGGGGGCAGAGCAGCACTAGAAACAGCCCTGCCAGAAACTGTGTACTCTGGTCAGAGCCTGGCCTGGTGGGCGAGGGCAGGCCCTCAGTGTGGGCTAGCCCTGGCAGGAGCAGGTGTAGCTCAGTCCCATGCAAAGTGCCACATGAACACCTGTGGTCTAGACCCAGCCAATTGGCAGGCCAGATCTGGCCCGTGGGCCATATTTTGCCCACCTCTGGTCTAAGGCGTGTCTATACACAGCAGTTGGTGGGTTTAACTACAAGGGCTGATTTTATTCTGATTTAATGAAACCAGTGCAAACCCTTGTGGGCCAAGTGTGGCTTATATCAATGTAGCTTAAAACTCTCCCCAATTGATTTGGGATAAAGGATCAACATGACCAGGGTTTAAGCTGATGTAAGTGTTCACGCTCTCACTGGTGTGACTGTCTCATATCACTCCTTTAGTTAAATGTATAAACAAGCCCTTGATTTAGAAGTGAAGCAGTTGGGGCTAAATAAATAAAAAGCCAGGGCCGAGTTATTTTAAGTACGTGCATATGAGGCTTTTGCACCAGTTTTAGGTAAACCAGTTTTAATGTTATGTGCAGATGCTGCCTAAACCATCTAGTGATTGTTGGGGCTCCAAAGCACTGGCAATCCTGGAGCATGAGGCTCTAGTTCTAATGGTCTCCTGAACCCACTATTCCAGAAAGTAAGTGAACAAGAGCATTTTCCAGTGCTGGGCTTTTACTTAAAAACAGTTTACTTGTCAAAACAGTTCAAATGATATGAATCAGAAGCAGGGAAAATGACTGGCAATAGTGTAATTTACTTTATGAATATAGCTTTACTATTTACTAGCTCCCACATTCATTCTGATATAAAATATGGTCAGGCCTGATACAGTATGCTCTGTTCCCAGCCCCAGTGTTGCCTGGTGTTTGCATCTCAAGACGTTAACTGGTTTTGCAGTGGAAGGGGAGTCAGAAGTCATTGTCACTCTCTTCAAGTGGCTCTGGTTTCCTTGCCCGGCGATTAGCCTTGCTGGGGGAGATTTCTACGCTGTCATCCTCCATGTCATCCTCCTCCTCATCATCATCCAGGTCAATTTCGCTGTCCTCTGAGTCCTCCTATAAGAAAACAGTGGGCAGAGAATTCATGGCCAGCCCAGTTCTCAAACTAGTGCTGCCTGCCATGACTGGGCAGAATATATTAAGTCTGCAAAGCCTATTTCTTGCCTCCCAAGACAACAGGGAGGAAGAGGGTCCAAACCATGCTCAAGCTAGCTGGAGCAATGCCGTCTCCCCTGCACTCAGACTAACGTGAGCCACAGTCCCCAGCTCTGAGATGATGGCATGCTGTATTTGCCAAAAATCCATGCCCTGGATTTGGGCATGACATAGGCAGCAGTAACAGGTCTAGTAGGAGGCTCAATTTACTGAGCCAGTAGCCGAACATGGGGCCTTGTGCTCCCGGAAACACTGGCTCTTAGGAAGGATGGATGACTGGTGCCTTCACCATGGGGAGAACTGAAGACCCTACAAAATGTTTCCCAACAAGTCTCTGCTGGGCTGGGAGTGGCTGCTCCTTTCACCCTGCTGAACATCTCCTTTCCAGGCTCCACTAAGGTGCTGACAATGGACTTCATTAGTGAGGCTGAAGCCAAGTTGATGAGAAGCAGGACCACAGAAGGAGTCCCTATGAGTCTGAGGACAAAGGGAGGAGATGAAAGGCATAAGAGAAACCCACCTGTGCCTTGGTCCTGGAGCGCTTGTGTTTACCTGGTTGGGCTTGGGTTGATCCCTGCTTGGAGAGAGCGAGTGGGAAGAGCAATGGGAGGTGGAAAGCAGAGAAAAAACATTAAAAAGAAAAGAGAACAGAAAGCAACCAAGACAAGAGAAGCAGGGAAAGGAGCAGCAGGCCCATGTGGAGACTGAGGGGTGCAGTGTGCCAATTCTGAGCCAAGGTGCAATGCTCCACAGCAGAACATGCTGGGAACACAGACATGGCCTGAACCCAACTTTAACCCCCTCCAATGGACAATACTGCCCAGGGGCCTGATGTGCACTCAAGGCAGAGACCTGTAGACTGGCCAACATAAACAGCTCAGCCCTGCCTGGAGATGGACTCTCAGGGAAGAAGCATCTGCTTCCACACTGGGCAAGTTCACACGAGCTGTGAGGAGTGGGCTGGGCAGAGAAGAGGGTCAGTGGGGCCAGGAAAGATGCACGGACAGGCCTCAGTCTGTTGGTGAAGGGCAGCCAGCAGCTTGGTGAACCCAGGCTCCTCACCTTTCCCAGCAGTACCCCTAATGCAGACAGCCAAAGTCCTGTCCAGAGCAGTGGGCCTGAAGGCCAAGTCTGCTCTCACAGACATGCCCTGCTCTGGCGTGGCCAGGAGCCAGTCCATGTACAAAAGTGATGGCTGTCACTGCGGGTCCTGCCACAATATGCTAGGCACTGTACAGATGGATGGGAGCACAGGCCCTACTCTGAGAAGCTTAGGGTGTGTACAGAAGCGCTCCATGCAAGTTTTACAGCACTGTAATTTAGAGCACTATTTATAGCACTATACAGTTGCAGCGCTTTTAAACATGACAGAAGCGCAGTGTTGGGCAGGGGGAAGGCGGGGTGTCTCTGAGCCTCCAAGCCTCCCTGTACTTTCCAGGCTAGGAGGCAGGGGATACTTGGTAGAGAAGTGGCTCTGGGCAAGCTCCAGTGTACAGGAATTATTTAAAGCACTGTAGGTTGCTAAAGTGCTATAAAATACAGTGCTTCAAATTTAATACCTCATTTAACAAGGATTTATTTAAAGTGTGGTACCCATTTTTAAAGTGCTGTAGAGCTGTGCACTTCTGGTAAGTCATGGCAATAAAGCACTTTAAACAGTGTAAAAAGCAAGTTTTGTGAACCCCATTACAGTCTAACTTGATACAGGGTAGGGGCTGGGGTGGGCCCAGGCAGGCCAATCAGGCTGTTTGGCACAGCCATTAGTACCAGGCGTGGCTCTTTCCCTCCTGCCTGCTCTGCTTGTTCTTGCACTGAACTCCCCCTCCTGCCTGCTCTGCCTGACCTTCTTCCTGGTTTTCTTTCTTGTTTGCTAACTTCTGTCAGTCTATGAGTCTGACCCTACTGGGTCACTCAGTGTTGGGAGCACTGGGCATCTGCTGGGATGTGCACCCAGAGGGGAGAGTTATGGCAGCTGAAGCAGAGAGTTATGTTGCTGAGGCTGCCTTGAGAAGCCAATAGCCTTGGGTGTCTCCACAACTCTGGGTGGCTGCTGTTGCTGGAGCCTGCTATGGCTGATACCAGGGCTTGGGCCTCCAAGGAAGTGGCCCCTACTCACCCTGGGCTTCTCCACTGTCTGGAGCAGTTGCAAACAGAATGGAGCAAGACACGCGCATGGCTGAATGGAATGGAGACTGCAGCAAGAGGGAGGGGAAGGAGCAGAGACCAGGCAACCACAGGCTGAGGGAACGTGAGTAGGGGCAGTCCCACTGTCCCGAAGGAGGCACACATCCAGTAGCCCATATCTGGTTCTGGCCAACACAAGATAAGGCAGAGGAAGGAGAATAAAAACACTTTTCTAATCTAAATCTTCACTGGCTGAGAAGAAATTAGTTCCCTGAGCCTCACTGCAGGACTCTGGGGTGCTCGAGGGAGCCTCTACTCCTGTACAGAGGGGCAGGGCAGAACTTTTGAAGCCTTAGGAAGACCTGCCTTAATTCAGGCAATGGCCTGGGGTCCAGGAAGCTTCAGCTCCATACCCAGCTGTGGCACTGGCCTGCTGGGCAACCTCAGGCAAGTCTGGACCTCCACATGTAAAAGCGAACTGAGCACTGCCTCTGAGGGACCCTATGAGGACCAGTCCCTGGGAGATGGGGAGTTGCACACTGTCAGGGATGGACCCTGAAGCACTGGGACAGGCAGAAGGTTTTTCCAATGAGTTTCAGTCTGAAGTGCTGGGATGGAAGCAGCTTAAAGAACCTGAGCCCTAGCCTGCTGAGTAAGGGCCCCTGAGCTCTGTGCTGCAGTAATAAGCCCTCATCAAAGCCTACTGAGCTCCTAAGAGCCACCTCACATTGAGATCAGGGAATACAACCAGACTCAGACTGAGCCCTCTGGGAGCTGAAAATTTAGTAGAGAGGCTCTGAGTGCTGGCAGCTCCTAAGGCACTGTCTCCTAAGTCACTGTAGCTGCTGTCTCCCTCCTTGACCCTGCTGATAGCAGAGGGTGTTGCATGTGTCTAACAAGATGGGGACAGGCTAGAGAGCAGGTATTCAGGGATGTCAACACAGCAGCCTCCTTCCCAGGAATGGATTCTCTGTACCACATGGAAAAACCATGAGTCATTCCCCAGAGAGCTTTAAACAGCCTTAAACAAATAAATTCAAGCCAGGAACAAAAAAGTGCAGCTCCCAGCTGTAACTCAGAACAATTTCTGCAAAGAGTGATGAGTTCCCGCGTTACCCCGGACCACACAGAAGTTCGCTGTTGACTCCAGGGGGAGGGCAATCTAGCTGGGAGCCTGCATCCAGACTCTGTCAGCGTGCGCTATTTTCTGAATGGGGTGGGGGAAAGGCAGCCAAGGGACCTCATTTCTGGGGCTCCTCAGCTGGTGCAGAAAGGTAGGGTGGGTGAATTGGAGCCCCCCCACCGTGGGGGGGAGGGGGGCTCCAATACACACCCCACTCTTCAGGAGAGGCTGAAACCTCCCCAGACTGAACTCCTGCTGCTCCCTTTCGCCTCTCCCATTCCGAAAACAGAGACAGGCTCTGCAGAAACAAGTTACAAAAGACGCCACATTTTGAAATGTTTTTATCTGATACCTCATGCAATGAGGGGTCAGATTTTTACTTGATCGGCCATTTTTGAAGCTGTCTGCAGCCGTGCACTTGTGTTTGGTCACAACTATAAACTGCCTTCTGTGGTCAGATCTGGTGAAAATTGTCACTTCTGTCTGCACCCAAAGAGTGTATGAAGCCTGGTGACACCTCCCGGAAAGCAGATGTGTAGGGAACACTCTGCTCCTGGTTCCACTGGGCCCTGAGCAGAAAGGTGTTGAGTGCTGTCCTGTCAGGCTGGGGACCTGGACCCCCTCCTTGCTATGGTATTTGAGAGCCCTCAGAACAATCAGTAGAGACATAGCAGGGATAAGCTCTCTCCTTTCTGCCTGCAGGAAAATGGCTAGAATAGCCAAGAGTTCAGTGCGTGTATGGAGACTCCCCAGGTCAGAGAGCCAGGGCAAAAAGACAGATCTGCACCAAGTTGTGCTTGTCGGGAAGTCCTTGGTCACCTTCTCCTTTTGCCACAGCAAATTCCACAGCACAAGTTCTGCTCCCAGTTCAGGTCTTTCTCCCATAGTTAATGGCCTCAGTGTCCCTGTGCAACCTGGTCATTGTGGGAAATCCTGGTCAGACAGAGCATCCCTTAGATAGCGAGAGCCAAATTTGCCATTGGCTTTGAATACCAGGATGCAGCCCTATACCTTAACCTATACTCTGTTTAATGGGGAGGTGGGACAGAGAGCCAGGCCAATGTGCTCAGAAACCTGTCATTAAGCACATGGGGTGTTGCAATTGCTGCCAGCTAGTGCTCAAGCGCAGAGGTCACAAACACATGGATCAGAGGAGCAGATCTGTGAATCAACAGGATAGTCACCACCACCACTTCTAGAGAGCCCTGCCAGGATGATAATTACCCATTAATCCCTGTTCTTTGCTTTCTGTCTCATAGGGACCTTCTGCTCTGTGACAGCTCTTTGCAACTCATCCCAGGGCTGGTTTCTTTAAAATGGCTGTTGTGAGGGATTTTGTCAAAGGCTTTTTTAAGCCCAAATAATTTACTTCAGTGCAGCTTCACCTCCAAGCTAGGAACTTCTGCTTCTGTCTCAGAGACAGAGACAGAGACAGCACAGCACTGGGAGTGAGATCCAGGAATGGTAGGTGTGCAGAGGTCCTCAGCCAGTGCTGGGCAGTGTGGCTGGGCTTCCTGGTGCTCTCTAGCCTGGCCCTTCCTTGGACCAGTAGCACAGCAAGAAGTCAATCGTGCTGGTCAGTGAGCCAGAATGAGAGCAGCAGTAAGGGCTTCCTACAGCCACAACAGGTTGGGAAAGACCCTCTATGTGCAAAAGTAAGAGCTACATACTCTTTAAAGCCAGGCTGGAGAAAGGGTGATGACAGCAGCTTGAGTACCTGCTTCTGAGGACTTGAGAGGGGAGTTCTGAGACCCAGAACTGCTTGTCTGGCCAATGCCCAGTCACTAGGTTTACCACTAACAATAAGAAAATGCAAGAAGCTTCCTAGGACCCAAAGGCTACAGGTAAGGAGGCAGAGGAAACTCAAACATGAGGTTCCTAGCTGAACAGCAGGTCCCACAGCAGAAAGAAACCACAGCTCAATTCTCTCCTCCCCAGAGCAGCTTGAATTCATGAGGGCAAAAATATTAAACACTTGCTTTCTCCTAATGCAGATCAGAGATAAGATTCTCCCAGCAGCTTAAGGGATTCAGAGACAAGTGTTCTATTAAAATAAATGTGTCTCAAACCAGGGGTGGGCAATTATTTTGGGCAGAGCCGCTTACTGAGTTTTTGCAAGCCATTGAGGGCCACATGACAGGCAGCCAGGGGCAGATATATATTCATTTTCTAAATTTTTTAGGGGCCCTGCAGGCCAGATAGAATGGGCTGGTGGGCCACATTTTGCCCACCCCTGTATTAGATTATGATTAAAATCTCCACCCATTCACCTGCTTCCCCCTGCCCCACCCTTCTACTTGGATGCTCACAAAATGGGAGTGTGTGGCACTAAATTACTGACAAAGTTTAGGATGAGACTAGACCAGAAGGCCATTCACAGAGACAAAACAGGGTGAAGAAAGAAAAAAGTGTGTGTGTGTGTGTGGGGAGGGTGTATGTGTGTGTGTGTGTGTACATGTTTGAGCATGCACGAGGTATGGAGAGGGAACTGGTCTGAGCATATGAAGGGAGAGCAGGAAAAGGATGCCTGTGGGATGAAGCTCTGTTCTCTGGCTGAAGGAGGAGGCCCACTGCTTTAAAGTGCCACCAGCACTGGATCAGTCAGGGACACCCTGAAGCCTGCACAGCACCATTTCCTACTTACATCATCTTCTATGTCTCCACCTTGCATTGTCCCCATGACCCGTTTGTTGAGTTTTCCTACAAGGAAAGAAAAATGATGAAAACCTGCACTTAATTAAACAGAGAGGAAAAAAACACTCTACAAAAAAACAGACCTTCAGGTGATGCCCGAGGTTTGCTCTGCAAACCATGCACCATCAGCAAATGGTAGCTGAGTTGAACCCCACTGAAAAGCTAAGGTCACCTTGATCTCCAGTGCTCCAGGGATCAAGAGAAAGGGGATAGAGAAAGGTTATTTTACTTTGCTCCTCATCTTGTTAGCTGAATTCATGGGGTACTTACAGGCTAGAGACAGACATTAATATACACCAGTTTAAGTGATCAGAAACTAGTTTAAACCTGTAACAGAACAGATGCTCAGTACACATAAACCAGCTTGAAAATGGCTGAAACCAGTTTGAGGGAAACCTGGTTGAATGTAGTATCAGATTTAACTGATTTGGGTCAAACCAGTTTATGCAATGTCTGTCCCAGACCCCTTGCTCGTTTAAGTTAAATCAGAGTCCTCCAGCATCCCACATGCTTTGCAACTCTGGGCAGTGCTCTTCTCTCTGTTCCAGCCTAGCAGGGCTAGCCCCTCCCCTTTGCTCCCTGGCTGCAGCTCTGGCAGAGACTGCTGGTACATCGGGGTCTGCCTGGCTTCCTCCTGCTCTCCCCACCTCCTCCCCTGCACCACTACCTGCTCAAGCAGGGATTCTCCCCTCTGCCTTACACAAAAACCTCTCAACATTAGCTAGCATACCACACGCTGGCTATGGTCCGTGCTGTGGGAGATGGAACAAAGGCAGACAAGACAGTGTCGGCTTAGGGCTTTTTGGAGCTAATCAACAGGTAGCTGGTAATGTTCCTCTGTTCCTTCCTTGGAAAAAGTTGTTTAAGAAGAGCTTGAACTAATGAGAGAGGCTGTTGTTTTGTTTGATGGGCTGACAAATGCTAACAACTCCCTGTGTAACTCCCTGCTGTGTAACAAAATGCTTGGTTATCAACAGCCAGGGGTTGAGCGGGGGGGAACCCCTCCCTAATCACAGCCTTCTGCTGGGGCCTGCCCCCCCCAGCTTAGCATTGTGGAAGGGAAGGGAGGGTTGCTCTAGTGCCCACCCCTCCCCTTGCTTCTAGCCTGAGCCACTGCAGGCATGTGCCTGCATTTCTTCAGTCCAGAGGGGATATCTGAATGGTTACATTGGTTAGCCTAGCCAGGTTAGACTAACCTGCAAAGATTAAATCAATTCAGTCTCAGGCTTTCTGAATGTCTGTCCCTAGCCACAATGGTTATAGCCTTCCTAAATCTCCGTGACTGTTTCCACTCAGCTAATGTCTATGACATACATTTGCCACACACTGGTGAGATTCTGGAGTAATTCCACTGAAGTGACTGTGGTGAATCATTTCCATGGCTACCTGATACCACTGCAACAGTTCCATAGGCTGGGTCACATGTCCAATTAAGTGCAATAGCTTATCTTGTCAGACATAAGGAACTCTACAGCAGTCCCTTGCCTGCTGATGAGACTTACAAAGAGCATTCAGGATGCATACAGTTCAATTTGTTTAGCTTATCATAAAGAAAATTGAGATCTGTGTTGATATGGTGCAGAAGTACCTTCATGGGGAGAAAACACTGAACACTGAAAGATTCTTTAATCTAGGAAATAAGCATAACAGGAAACAGCAGCCAGAGGATGAACACAGACATATTCAGACTGGAACTTAGATACAAATTTTTAAAGGAGGGCGATTAACTTTTGGATCAAGTAAACAAAGAAAGAGGATTCTGTAGCTCATGAAGTCTTCAGACCAAGACTGGCTGCTTTTGTGGAAAATATGTTTTAGCCAAATACAAGTTAGTAGGCTCAGTACAGGGGGTTTTGGTAGGAATTTAATGACTTCTGATAGACAGGAAAAACAGGTCTAATAGTCTCTTCCAGCCTTGAACTCTGTATCTATTAAAAAACCTTGGATTTAGTACTGAACCACACTGCAGACCAGACTGACAGCATTTTGACAGTAACTTCTGAACTACAGGAAAGCTCCTAATCACATGCCCAAAGCTTTAACATCGAGGTATCCACTGCTGTCTTGTTGGCACACTGTTATACTGTTCAGAGATTATCCTGTGCTAACTGTCTAACGGGAAGATATTACCTCCTGGCTAAACTCTAGAAAAATGACAGGGAGGATTTTAAAGGTTCCAGATCTACACCTTTATCCAATTTGTTGTGATTCCAAGTCATCAAGCATGTACAATACATAATTCATCTCCCCAATTACTTTCTGAAATGTTCTCTCCATCTAAGTGAGGTGGAAAAAATTAAGTGGAACAGCATAGGTAGCAGTCTGAAGCTTAGTATGAAACATTTATTGTTTTTCATCTCATCTATGAAATACAGAGCTGTGGAACTTGCTTAAAACTGAGAAAAGAGAAAAATAGAGTAAAACTGTGTTTTAAGCTCAGCCTAGCTGACTATTCCCTGTTCTTTGATGTTCAGGGAGAGACAGAGAAGGCTTTTTCTTAATATGGACAGGTAGAAATTAGGGCAGGTCCATTCTTAGCACCTGACAAAGCATGTTAACTACAAAAGCTTATGTCTCTCCGAACTAGGTAATCACCAAGGTGCTTCTTTTGCCCTGTCTTCTGCTGGACTTCAGACTAACACACCTACCCAGCTCTGTTAATCTGCTCAGTGACTTTCTTTTGAGAGTGCCTAGAGGTGCTTCTCTCTGTCTAGAATTCACTCCAATGAACCTGTGAATTGTGCTAAACACCTTGTTACACGGACATGAAACAGGAAAGGAAAGGATCTTTATTTTCCTTTTTGAAGGAGCATGCCTGCACACCTCAGCCCCAGCACCATTTTCCAGAACTTCTTTCTGCCTTCAGCAGGGCCTCATGTTACAGCTCCCATTATCCAGGTCACAGCTTGCCAGGACTTCCTGCCTAGCCTGACATCATGACTATATAACTGGCTGAATGAGGCACCCTCTCTTTTTCACTAGGCACACCATCCTAACTTTGCTGGCAAATGGAGTAGGATGTCAAGCCCAAGCCCATGGTTCCACTGAAGAGGAGATCAGTGGCTTGCAGGACAGAACTAAACCTCAAGGTTAGAAGTTATTGGCTATGCATGTCAATGTGCAGTCTTTTCCCAAGTGATTACTCAATGATTGCTCAGTGATTCTTTCAAAGAGGCCAGGTCCCTTGCCATCACACATTATTTTTCTCTGGTTTTAGTATCAGTGAACGACTGCTAGCTATGTGATCAAATCTAGAGCGTGCTCAATGTTTCCCCGACCACCTTTTGAAGAGTAGAGGGTGCAAGGGATGGGAAAGGGGGGTCAGGTTGTAAAGTGTGTTTTCACACTCAAACAGCAATTGTATCAAAATGGTACCTTTTTCCACAACAGTTTCTCTCCCTGTTGGTATTGAAAGTTAGACCTGATTAGCCTTAGGGACAGAGAGTTGCTTTGTTTTTCATCCCTTCTGTAGATTTGCAGAGCCAGCACAGGTAAAAGGGAGGGAATTACCGTCTATTTTTCCTTGGGAATCATCAACAAGACTGTTTGTTTAGTCAGTTTGTGTCAATGGGCAAACTTGCAGAAGAACGGGCAGCTGCATAAATATCCCTGGGGACAAAAACTAAAGGCAATGGTGTCACCCATGTGTCTAGGGACATAATCTGTCCTGCAGAACAGTTAGGTCACCAGTGACGACGTGTGAAAAGGGAAGACAAGCCAACCTGACTTTCAGAACCTAGGGCGAGTTTACAGAGCTCTCACTTACTATATTGTTATACAAGCAGACAAAGTACATTCATTTCAGAAGCAGCAAGAAGCAACAGCAAAGATTTGTTCCCATCTGAACATGGTTGTTTTTCAGGATAAAACTGCATTTCAAGTGTTGACCAGGGACAACTTATTTTTAAAAGTTCATGAGGGTCACTGCTAGCTCAGCAAAGATCTGTGCTGGGCTACGGACAGCTCAGAGAATAGGTGTAATAGAGAAAGTGCTACCCTGGGTTTCTGCAAACATCCGGAGGGGCTGCATTCTGCTAACAAAAGCCAAATACCATCCTGCATGGCTTACTCTTTTAGTCCCCCAGTCCATCTTCCAAATCTATAGCACAGTAAAAGCATGAACCAACCAGTGTCAAAGATATACGCTAAGAGTTTTCCATCAAGGCCTACATACAAGCACATGCGATGGGACAACTAGAAATAAGAAGATGCATACAGGGCAAACAAAATAAGTGACATTATTGAAGCCAGAGTGTTTTGCTTGTCTTTCTGTAGCTCAAAAATCACCTTTCTTTGTTAACAAGGAATGGGGCTGGGATTTTTCTAAGCAGCTTGAGTTAGGGACCCAAATTGCATTGAAAGTCAATAGGCATTAGATAATTAATTCCTTTGAAAATCCAAGCTTCTCTGGTTCACAAGAGAGATGTCTCTTTAAAAAGATAGGCTGTTCTGCTTTACTACTTATTTCTTTGCATCATCTACAATCTGCCCAAATACCATTCAGGTGCCTTTCCTAGTCCTCTGGAAATAATGTACCTTAAAATAAAGGATGAATATGTAAACATGTGATCATCTGGCACAGGTCCATCGCTCCATAAAGTGACATTGAACAAAACTGCCTAACAGAATGCTTACAGAGCTCTTCTGGTCTCTTGGGCAAATGCCACCATTTTACACAACTGTGTTTAACTAGGGCATTGGAAAGGCTCCAAAGGAGCTTTTTTATGTGCCTTGAGTACAACATTTATCAGGTTTCAGGTTTATAGGAACAATAACTGCCACCCTCCAAGGAAAGGAAGACCACAGAAATTTTGAGGAACTTTCATCAGAGTCCTAGTGACAGCTGCCTGTGGTCTCTAACTTGGGCTGTTTGCAGAATTACCCCTAGGTAGTTTTTTACTCTTTAGTGCAGATGAGCATCCAAAGTCCATTCAGTTCTACGGGCCTGGACCTGAGAAGCACTGAGCATTTGGAAGTCCCATTAACTTTAACTGGAGATACAACAT